AGGCACATTTTAGCGATGCTAGACGTAGTTTGGTTGTTTGGTTCTCACAACTAGGATGTGGGGTGAGCAGGCCGCTACTGGCACCTCATGCGTAGAGGACAGGGAAGCTACTGCATCCTACAGTCTGGAGGCCTCAGCCTCCTCATAACAGAGAATAGCCAAGGTCAAATAAAAATTAGTGCTGAGCTTGAGAAACCTTGCCCTAGAATCTGAGCTCTTAACCATTGTGCAATAGGCAGAGTAGCAGTACCTTTTTACTTTATTTAAGGTTTGATAAGTCAGTTTCCAATAAATTTCTAATCATTTTAATTTGGAAAATTAAATTGAAAGTAATAGTTTTTAGAAATACGTATTTTCCTCCTGTCATAAAAATAATGCAAATTGACAATTTCTTTGAGTATTTAGCATGACCAGTGTTTGCAGGTATGGTTTTTTCTTTTTTTTAACAGCCTTATTGTTGTATAATTTAAATGTCATAAAGTTGACCCATTTTTAGGATGGGGACTCTTTACATTGTTGATGGGATTGTGAGTTCATTCAGCCACTGTGGAAAACTGTATGGAGTTTTCTCAAGAAACAACAAAAAAAATAGAACTACCATATGACCCAACAGTGTTACTCCTGGCTGTATATACACAAAAAACAAAAACACTAATTTGAAGAGATACATGCATCCCGGCATTTTTATATACCTCAGATACAAATCATTTTTCAGGTATTATGATTTGCACATTTCCCCCCCCCCCCTCAGTTTATGGTTTGGCTTTTCATTTTCTTAGTGGTGTCTTAATGCACACTTTTAATTTTCATGAAGTCCAGTTTATCAGTTTTATGGGTCATGCTTTTCATGTTCAGTTAAGAACTCTTTGCCTAATCCAGATGACAAAGATTTTCTCCTGTGTTTTTTTCATTTCATTCCTGTAAGTATTATAGTCTTAGCTATTACATTTAAGTGTATAGTCTATTTTGTTATTTTTTAATATGGTGTGAGGTAAGGATCTAAAATAATCTTTGATCACGTGGCATTGTTCCAGCACCATTTGTTGAAAATTATCCTTTTTCCACTGAATTGCCTTAGCTCTTTTGTTGGAAATCATTTGACTGTAAATGTAAGAGTTTATCTCTGGACCCTTAATTCTATTTCATTGACACCAGATCACAGTATCTTGATCATTGTAGCTTTATACTAAGTTTTTTTTTATAGTAAGTTTTAAAAGCAAGGAGTATTAAGTTCTTTGTGTTCTTCTAAAAAATTGGTTTGGTTATTCTCAGTCCTTTGCATTTCCATATAAATTGTGGGATAAGCTTGTCAATTTCTGCAAAAATTCCTACTGGAATTTTAGTAAGGATTGTGTTGAATCTATGGATCAGTTTGAGGATAATTGCAATCTTAAAGCATATTGCCTCTTTAAGTGTTCATCAACGGATGAATGGATAAAGAAAGTGTTTATGTATACATATGTGCTGTGCTTAGTCGCTCAGTTGTATCCGACTCTTTGCAACCCTACGCACTGTGTGTAGCCCATCAGGTTCCTCTGTCCGTGGGGATTCTCCAGGCAAGACTACTAGAGTGGGTTGCCAGCCCTTCTCCAGGGGATCTTCCCAACCCAGGTCTCCCGCATTGTAGGTGGATTCTTGACCATCTCAGCCACCAAGGAACCATATATATAAGACAACTCCGTTTATTTAAATCTTTAATTTCTCTCAGCAGTGTTTTATGGTTTTCAGTGTACAAATCTGGTATTTTTTCTTTTAAAAGTTTTTATGCTGTTGTGAATGGAATTACTTTAATTTTATTTTCAAGTTGTTACTAGTATATAGAAATATAGTTCATATTTGCACATCGATTTTTTTTTTTTTCTCTTTTTTTAATCCACTGACCTTCAGACAGAGAAGCCTGCCAGGCCCCAGTCCATGGGGTCACAAGAGTCAGACACAACTTAGTGACTAAACGACCACGACCTTCCTGGACTCATTTATCTTAGTAATTTTTCTGTGGAAATGTTAGGATTTTTTACATATCAGAATCTTGTCATTTGTAAATAATGATAGTTTTACTCCTTCCTTTCCAATCTGAGTGTCTGTTTTGCCCTATTTCACTGGCTGAAACCTCTAGTATAATGTTGACTTGAAGTGGCAAGAGCAGACATTCTTACTTTTGATCCATTAAAAGTAATTTCATAATCACCATTCAAAGATCACTTAGGTTTTTCTCAGGCTATCTTGGAGATTTGGTTTATTTTATGCTAGACCACTGAGACCAGTCCCATAATTAAGAAATTTCTAGATATTCCTTTGTTAAGGATGACCTGTTGCTTTTGTTTGTTGAAAGGGCTAAAACTGAGCTAGCTAGCCTCTAGAAGTGATGGATCAGGGTATTCTGCCTATTCCAGTGTTATTATGGAGATTCTTTTCTTTCTCACACCTAGGATTTATCAATAGGTGTGTGTTTTCTTGGAGGAAACAATATATTTATATATTGTTTTGTGTGTGTATGTGTATTTGTTGTTGGAATAGATGTTGATGTTTGTTAAAGAAGAAAAAAGCTGCTACTTTAAAGAGCCGCCTATGTAGTGAATACTGGTTTTATGTATTTGGAAATGGCTCCTGGGAGACTGCAGAAGCAGGCAGCAAAACCATGAAATGAAAAACAATCATTTCTTTCATATTCTTTAAGTTATTTCTCCTCATGTTTATGCTTAAAAAAATCTTAAAATATGCATGCTGTGTTATACACCGCATAATATTGATTTTTAAATTCTCAATCATATTCTATGATTATACAGTATGAAGTAGTGACTAGAAAATTTGCCTATGCCTTAGAGTGTTTAAAAAAAAAGCCACTAAAAAATTCTTATTGAAGTATAGTTGATTTACAGTGCTGTGTACAGCAGAGTGATTTAGTTATACATATACATTTTCATAATCCTCTTCATTATGGCTTATCACAGGATATTGAATAGTTTCCTGTGCTATATGTTAGGTCCTTATTGTCTATCCGTCCTGTATGTAATAGCATGCATCTGCTAACCTCAAATTCCCAATCCTTCTTTCCCCCTTCCACTCTCCCTCTTGGCAACCACAAGTCTCTTTTCTGTGTCTGTCAATCTGTTCCTGTTTCATAACGTTCATTTGTGTCCTATTTTATATTCCAAATATAAGTGATGTCATATTGTATCTTTCTCTTTCTGACTTCACTTAGTATGATAATCTCTAGGTCCATCATGTTGTTTCTAGTGGCATTATTTAATTTAAAAAAAAAATCCATTTCTGTGTCCCATCATGAACTGACTGAATCAGACTTACTGCAGAATATGGGACTCAGAAGTCTTGCTTTCTAAGTTGTTTTCCCCAGCCCCTTGTTGTTGTGTGATCAGCAATAGATGAGATGAGAGTGGCAAAATGTTGACACTTACTGAAGATGGGTAATGGATAGATGGAGTTCTTTATACTATTTATTTTTATATACACATAAAATTTTCCAGAGAATTTAAAAAAAAATTTTTCCAACTTGTATGTAGCAAGCAGCTTGGCACCAGTATTGGCAATCATTTGGGAGCCACTGTTCTCATCTGGATTCACAGTCCCCAGAAACATTTACTAAGGATTCAATGGTCAGCCAACTATTGTACAAAGTCTCTGTCTTTGAGATACTTTGTATATAGGCTGATAAGCCACATGAATAAGGGTAATTAATTGGGACCTATCATTATTGGCAAACATGGTAAGAAGAAGCATCATATAGTTATTTAACTGCCATTATACTGACTTCAGAATTGTTCTATTATCATTTACCCAAAGCATAGCATTTTTTATATGTAGATTTCTGATCTAAAATAGCTTTTCAAAAAAGACATGTAGGATGTAATGAAACAAGGAACAAAGCATTGATACACATGTATGTATTCTCTTTCCTGGAAACATGGAAAAGGGATAAATAATTTTAATTGGAAACTAGTATGTCTTTCTTATATACATATACATATTTCCAAAGAAGATTTCACCAAAAATAAATAAATGAAATTAGCAGAACTGGGCCTTTGTATTAATGTATAAATTCAGTTTGTTTACTAACAAATTAAGTATTTTTCTTAAAAAGTTTGCTAGGGGATTTTCTTGCCAGTCCAGTGGTTAGGACTCCATGCTTCCACTGCAGGGTGACGGGTTCAATTCCTAGTTGGGGAATTAAGATCCTGCATACCATGCAGCGAAGCCAAAAGACAAAAAGTTTGTTAAGTTTATTTGTATTTCTTACCACTTCTGTATGTCTTTTTGTATTTTAATTGTCTTTAATAATCATTGTCCCTGGATTAGAAACAGCCAAAATGATTGTGGCATGTTACATGTTATTAGGACCATGAAATTAGCTGTTCCTACTACTTTAGTAGGATTTCATAGGCTCAAAATCTAGCCCCAGATATTTACTAAGTACAAAAGAAAGGATAGTAATTTAACAGTGGAGGTATCAGCTGACACCATTTTAGCTGAGTGAACACTACCCACTAATAAATATTATTTGTCAAGTGAAGTATTCAGCACTTTTCATACATCATCTTAATTTGTCACTTTTACTTAATTTTTTACTTTTACTTAATTTTTATAATTTCTTATAAAATATGAAAGTTAGAGTTCCTTAAAAGAATTCTGACAAACTAGTGTATTAAGTGGTTTTAGTTCTCACCACCTAAAATGCTTATTAAAAACTGTAAACATGTAAATCCCAAACTCTTGTATAGTAAATCTAAGATGATGCCCAGGACTTTGTATTTTAAAAAGAGGTTCTGAATATTCTGATTCGTACTTTGAAACATAGCTTTATAATGAGACCTACTTCCTATCAATATGATGTTAGAAATTACCCTGCTTATACTTAAAGTCAATTTTCATTCATTTTTTTAAAGTGAATAATTTTAGTTATTTAATCTTATTTATGGCTCATTAGGGAAAAAACTTGTCTGCTCATAGGACATTATTTAAAAAATCCCTTTTTTTCCCTGTAGTTGATCATAGCCGAGTTAAGTTGACTTTAAAGACTCCTTCTCAAGATTCAGACTATATCAATGCAAATTTTATTAAGGTATGTATTAATGTTAAACAGTGTTTCTCTGCCATATTTAATGACTTCCTACAATACTAGTTTTATTAAAAAATTTTAAATTGCCTGATGTGATAGCAACAGTAAAGGAAGTAAAAATAAAATCACAGCCATGACATATTTTTGTTTTCCTTCTAGCATCCTTAAAGATTTTTGCTTAATTTTATGATAGTGGAGATAAAGTCCTTTTGTTTGTGTGTTTCTTCTTTTACATTGAAGGCTTATTATAAACACCTTTGTTGCTGATTAGGTGCTAAGTCACGTCCAACTTTTTGTTGACCCCCATGGACTGTGTAGCCTGCCAGGTTCCTCTGTTCATGAGATTTCCCCAGGCAAGAATATTGGAGTGGGTTGCTGTTTCCTTCTCCAGGGGATCGTCCAGACCCAGGGATCGAATACGCATCTCCTGCATTGGCAGGCAGGTTCTTTACCACAAGCCACCTGGGAAGCCTTTACTGATTGCTAAATTGTCACGTTTGTTATGTACACAAATGTACTTAGTCATTTCTGTTAATGAACCATATAGGGTATTTATCAGTAGAGAGATTCAGACTGCTACTTGAGTAAATAGAAGAGTATTTTTTTCTGTTACTCTGTGCTTTTGAGTCTATTTAATACAGTATTTTGTTGAAAAAAATATTAAGGTGGTAAGAGTTATATGGTAAAATTAATATCAGTGTCAACATTGAAGAATTATGGTTCCAAATAAAAGCTTTTTCCTGAAAAGTCAATTTTATTACAAATATGGCAGAGCCGAAAACTAATAGTTAAACAAAAACTAATACATAGGGACTTCCCTGGTGGTCCAGTGGCTAAGACTTCCCACTCCTAATGCAGGGGTTTATTCCCTGGTCAGGGAACTGGATCCTGCATACTGCAACTAAAAAACAAACAGAAAGCTTCCACATGCAGTAACGAAGATCCTGAGTATTGCAACTAATACCTGGCTTAACCAAATAAATGAATAAATATGAAAAAAAAACTAATACATAGTTCATTCTTTCATATGTAATTGATGCTTATGTTCTTTCATAAGGACATTTGTTAAAAGTTCTAGTTTTTAACTGTATCTGATAACACTGGCTCACTGTATGTGCTGGTTTAACATTTTAGTCTGCTAGTTTGTTTGATATATTCTTGGGTTTACTATTGAAAGTATATTTAGTAGGTGCTTAAACCAAAGACAGCTATGGAAGAATCTAGCTAAGAAAGAACTATTAGCTAGTTCTAGTCTTCTTTTTTAGAATTGATGCATGCTTTTAAGTTTCTGCTAGTTAGTTTTGTTGACTAGGGCTTTCAATTCCTAGGTAACTAATAATTTTTAAAACAGCATAAGGATGTTTACTTTTGAATTCTATGAACCATGTTTCACCAGAAGCTGAAGTGAAATATATTTTGTCATGCTTTTATACGTTATTAAAGAAAAATTATTTGGAAATTGTTCAGGTGAAAACAGCAGGAATGCTAATAAAATTTGAAAACTTAAAATTTAGGTAAGAAAATATTTTTGATAATCATAATTTGTATGATTTTAACTTTTTTAGGGTGTTTATGGGCCAAAAGCATATGTGGCAACCCAAGGACCTTTAGCAAATACAGTAATAGATTTTTGGAGGATGATATGGGAGTACAATGTTGTAGTAAGTATTGCATGAAATGGCATGATTTTCTAGCCATAATGATGTGTTAACTATATCCTACAATATGACTTTTGAGTCATAATGATATGTTAATTATAGTTAGTTTATTAAAAAGACAAACTGATGGCTAGGTTGTCTTGTTAAATTTTGACAAATTTGTTGAAATATTTCAAGAATAGAGTATCGCAGTACTTTAAATCTTGGTCTAAGTTGGTAGTATAAGACAACTACCGAACACTGATAGATGGGTGGAAGGACAGCTGTGTGATAAAAACAAGTATGCCAAATGCTAATGGTAGATCACAGATGGTAGCTATGCAGTGTTTACTGTAAAGTTATTTCAACTTTGTTGTATGTTTGAAACATTTCATTATAAAACTATTGGGATGGGAAAGCAAATGTAATAACCTTCATGTTTAAAGACAGTTACATTCACCCTTTAGTAAGCAAAGTATTTAATAGTGCTAGTCTATGCGGTAAATATCCTGAATGCGTTATTTTAATTACAAAAGACATATCTGTAAGATTCAAAAAATTCAGCTCAAATCAAATACATCTTGTTATTTGAAGCCAATTTAACTCATACTTTTAATATTAAACCTACTTTTTGACAGGCCAGGTGTACTTCTGCTCAGAATAAAAATAATTCTTGAAATGTTCATTTTGTTGGAAAAGTAAAATTGCATTTAACTGATATATTCTCAATCTTATCCCATCCCCTTTCTTTTTAGATCATTGTGATGGCCTGTCGTGAATTTGAGATGGGAAGGGTATGTATAACTGTTAACATTTAAAGTAATTGTGGAGTATTTTTTTTATTACTTCATTTCTAGGGATATATATTCTTGGTCTTTTATTATATTCTTAGCCGTAGTTATTAAAATAGTTAATTCTTTTCTTTTTTGTGTGTTCTGCTGTTGCTTTCATTTTAACAAAAGGAGCCAAATCATCCTTAAGCACATAAAATACTTTTATATTTTATAGGTACATTTTATGATATATTTAAAATAACAGATTCTAGGGAGGGGGGATCGGGATGGGGAATACATGTAAATCCATGGCTAATTCATTTCAATGTATGACAAAAACCACTGCAATGATGTAATTAGCCTCCAACTAATAAAAATAAATGAAAAAATAAATAAATAAATAAATAAACAGATTCTATATTGTTACTTAGTACTGCTACTTAATAGAGTCTATATTGTTACTTAATTAGTCTTATAATATTTAATGGTTTGTAAGTAGAACACTGTTTATGGACAATAAAAATGATTTAAATAATTCTGATTAATTTACAGCTTGAAATTTCTAATTTCTGTCTGCCAATTCCACTACATTTCTGTAATGGTATCTCCAAAATAAAGAGAAGAAAATTCCTTAACTTGAAATTTTTTTAACATTGGTAAAAAATGTATACAAATGAAATTAGTATCAAAACCATTCTGATCTCCTGCAGAACTGATTCCTAAATCTTCATTTTAAGCATGAATGTCTATAAATGTGACAAATAAATTATGTGATAATTTGAAGTATACCTATGCAAGCGTAGTTCATTAACTGCATTATAGTTAAACTAAGAAATGATTTAAAAGTTGTAAAACTTACTAAAATTTTCAGCCAAGGATACATTGCATAAAACAAGATACTATATCTTTCAGTTATATGAAATATTATTCTATATAAATCACTAAGTTACTTTTAAGATTTAGGCTTTATTTCTCTTCTTTCTATTAATAAGCTCACACTGTATATCAGTAATAATGCTTAAAAGATAAAGTTGTATTGAGTGCAAAAACTTTTTGAACCTAATGATTTTTTTTGGATTCATAGTGTTTTGTTAGTTGGTTTTGTTGTTTTATCGGTCAGGGCTATGGATTCATTTGATAATCTCCACTTTGACTTAGAGTGTGACCTAATGGAAAGAGCACAGGTAATGAAATCAAACAAACCTATACTTTACAGGCACTTGGAGCATGGTGCAGTGAACTGCCCCCTCTGAGCTTCCGCTTCCTCATCTCTGAAATGAATGACAAATTATTATAGATTAAAGACCCTGAGCTAGGAAAGATAGAGGGCAGGAGGAGAAGGGGGTGACAGGGGATGAGATGGTTGGATGGCATCATCAACTCAATGAATATGAGTCTGAGCAAACTTTAGGAGATAGTAAAGGGCAGGGAAGTCTGCGTGCTGTGGTCCATAGGGTCACAAAGGGTTGGACAAAACTTAGCAACTGAACAATAATAAAATTCATGTATGGTATCAATTGTATCAGTAATTAGTTCATACCTGGAATATAAATACCAATATAATCTTTACTCATCGTTGCTCTGAATGAGAGCCATGTTAGTCACAAACTTTCAATTCCTACTAAATTAATCTCCTGTAAACTTGTTTTCTGTTTCAAGATATTAAAGCTTTACTAAGTGAAAGACCAAGAAGGAAAAAAAACTTCAAAATAATTAATTTTATCGTTTTCTATAAACTCTACTAGGAAATGAAGTTTGTGACTTTAAGCCTTCTAAAATTTTAGTAGTATTTACTCTAAGCTAGCTGACATACTAGGCAGTTCTACTTTTTGCCCTGAGAGCAGTATTGTCAACTTACAGTTAATTCCAGCCTATAAGTAACAATTCCACTTACTGTATTTAGAACTATGAGGATTTAGTAAGAACTGATATATTTCCCACTGCTAAAATGTATATTTTAAGCTAGATTGTCAGTTATAAAGACTTTCATTTTATTGGGTCTTACTTGTAAAATTACATTATTTCTTGCATCAGAATCACTGGATCTTCTATGAAGTTAGGCTTTTATTCACTTACCTAAATTTTTAAAATAAATGAGGCTTGATACTAGAAACCAATGTAGATGAATATTCTACTATTTCTATACCTGTTTGTTATGGGAAAATAAGACAGGATACTGTTTGATTATACCTTCTCTAATCTAAAATAAAAGTGAATAGTTTAAATAATACATTATCCTTGTATAGTGTTTTTACCAACAGTAGAACATTTGAAATATGCTCAAATTACTTAAAACAGTCATGTAAGATAAGGATTATTATCCCTGTATTTATAGTTAAAGGAACTAAATGTAAACAAATAGTAAAATTGCTACCTGTACATTTCTTATACCAAGTGGAGTGCTCTTTCCACTATGCCACAGATTTTATACTTAATGAGAATTCAACTAGGTATTATAGATATTGTCATTTTATAAACATTAAAACTTACATGCTAAATTTCTTACACTAAATTGAGCACCTTCTTATACTAAATTGACCTCCTTGTGCTAGGCATTTTTTAAAAAAAAGCAATTTTTCTTTTTTAGAGGAGGATCTTTGGAGTCTGTATAACAAGCAGATAGAAATGAACAGTTTATATACTTAGTTTAATAAAGTTCTAATCTTGACGAGGAATTAGTAGCCCACCTTTAAAGAGTTGGATAAATCTAAGCTCCTAGCCCCTGCCTACTGATGGCAGTTGTTTGTTTTCTGGGAATGAAGAACAAGCGGAACACAAAATATTTGTAAAAGTTCAAATAAATTATCAGTTATTTACTAACCTTTTTTTGGACAACAGAAAAAATGTGAACGGTATTGGCCTTTGTATGGAGAAGACCCTATAACATTTGCACCATTTAAAATTTCTTGTGTAAGTACTTATTTTCATATACATTATTTAATCAGGTAGTGGCTATGTCAGACTGATGAATAGTTAAATTATAATATGTGCTGACTTATGGCTTATATAAGCTAATCACTCAATGTGTTCATGTGAATCTATACCTAATTATAATAAACAAATATTAATAATGCTTGTTTTATGCTGCTTTTTAAAATTTGAGTATAATTGTTTTACAATATTGTGTTGCATAATACTTATAAATTAAGGAACTTTGAGAATGACTTTTCATAAATATATAATTTCCTTATTATGTTAATTCTGTCTTAGTTTTTGCATGTAAGTTGATTATAAGTATTACATATCTAAGAATAAACAAATAACTATGCTCTTATTCAACTAATGGGAAAGATCCTTGATGATGAAGCATAGTTTATGATGTTAATCTTTCATATCTATGTTATTCTCCCCAGAATTATTATAATTATATACAAAGATAGGTTTGAGAACCTCCATCCTAAAAGCAGAGATTGACCCTTTATGGCAGAAAACTTGACATAAAACTTAAAATAGATACCTATTTGATAAGCTTTGGAAATGAATTAAATTCAGGTTTTAAAACTAACAAAGCACAAATCTGAGAAGATGAATTAAAAAACAAAAACAATGAGGGGGAAAAAACAACAAGCTTTAGAATAGAACCAACACTTTGCTTTCGATTATACATGATGGTGTCTTTTTATAATCACTTAAAAGAAAATTGTCTTTATTTGTTCAACTCAAAAGACCATGATCAAGCATACATGAAAATAAAATAACTTTGCTATATTAGTCAGGGTTTTCCAGAGAAACAGAAGCAGTAGTATGTGTATATACAGAAAAGAGACTATGGAGTCGGGCAAGTCCAAAATCTGCAGAGGTGGGCAAGCTGGAGATCCAGGACGAGGTTTCAGGCTGAAGACCCACAGCCTGGAGACCGAGAGCCAATACTGCAATTCTAGTCTAAAGGTGGGGAGACTGAGACCCAGACAAACTAACATTTCAGCTCCAGTCCAAAGACAGTCAGCTGTAGAACCAGGAAGAGCCAGTGCTGAAAGCAGTCTCCTGGAGAATTCTCTCTTACTTGGAGGAGTCTGATCCTTTTGTTCTATTCATGGGTTAACTGATTGGATGAGGGCCAGCCACTCTACTCAAAATCCACTGATATAAATGTTCATCTCACCCCAAAACTCCCTCACAGGAACACCAAGAATAATGTATGACCAAGAATCAGAGCACACCGTGGCCAAGCCAGATTAACACATAAAATTGACCATTACATTACCCATCTCAAAACTTTTTTATTTTGTTTTGCATGGTTAAATGAAATATAATTTCTATGATCTTACTCGTCGTTGTTGTATTCAAGAAGTCCTTAATTTTATGACTTATTTGTACTTAGGACTTCTGAATTCCTCTTATGCTGCCAGGAATTTAGTGCTTTCTAGGTTGATTTAGATAAGGACTCAAACTATGTTCCCCAGTCTCCTTTACAATGCAGTGTGATTGTTAGAATGTTCACTTTAACTCATATTTATAACAGCCTGTATTTAATGAGTAGTCAATTCTCTAAACTCCTGGCTAGAATTAACTTTGGATTAAATATTTTAAAATTCTACTGCATTTCATATTATTTGCAATGAGTAAAAAACAGTATATAACCAAACTGTACTTCTGTGATAGAACACTACCTAATCCCACCCCCACCCCCACCACTTTTAGAGAGTATTCTACAGTATTAAGTACCTGGACAGTTCAGGAAACTTAGTTCTGTGCATTGTGCTTAGTTGAACATTTGTAAATTTAAATGTACTAACTGTAATGAATGTCACAATTTAGGTGACAGCATAGAGTGATTGTCAACAAAAAAACAAAATTTTTAACAGACAAGGATCAGAAGGATCAGGAATAGTAAACAATTTATCATAATGAATAGAGAAAAGTAGGAAATAGTTTAAAATTTGGAAAAAGATGAATTGATTTGAGGATTGGTTTTTCAATTGCACTAAAGAGTAATTTCTTAAAGTCCTGTTAATAAAAAGTTTGATTTGATCAATAAGCGCTAGTTTGATTTGTCAGTGATGGGATTGCTGAAGAAGCAAAATTCTTTCAAGATTTCAAAATGGAAAGTAATTTGTATGTTATGTGATTGTTTCAGAGAAGTCAAGATTTGTTATCACTGTTGTAAAACACAAATCAAATGTATGAATAGAAAGCAAGGTAGTGAAAATAACCATAGTAAATGATTTGACTCGACGTGGCAATCAGAGTGTTTAAGACAGAGTATTAGAAGCTCTCTCGATTTGGAGATGGGAAAGAGGGTAGAGTTGGTGAAGGGTGAGGGCCTGGCTAGCAGGAGCTCAGAAGCATGTTGCTGCTTGTAACCACTTCGATCAGCACTGTCCATGGGTCAGTCTAGCCCACTGCCTGTTTTGTGAGTGAAGTTTTATTGGCGTATAGCCTTACACACTAATTTACATATTTGCCTATCATAGCACAACAGAGACTTTATGGCCTACAAAGTCAAAAATATTTATCTCACCTTTTATAGGTGAGCAAATGTTGTCTTGGACCAATGTTTTCATTTATTCTCTGTTTTAAAAACATACTTTCCCCCTAATGTTATTTGAAAAGTTCAAAATAAATTATTATGGCTTATAACATTAAAGCTGGAATAATGTTGATTTTTTTTTATTAATAAAGCAGCATATCTGTTGCTCTTGACAATCGGTATCCTCGCATATCTGTAGTTTTAGTTAAAAAAGGCAAAAATAATAGTTTACTTAGTGACAAACTGATGAAGAGGCTTTATTCTAATACACTGACAAATAACAGTAAGACTTTTAAAGTGACTGTTGTCATCAACCAAAATAATAATTTGGGATTTTCTGAATGCATCTTTTTCCTTACCCATTTGGCAACCACTTAACTCAGTATGAATGTTAGGTAGAGAAAAATCAAGCATAATAGATAAAATGATTGAAGGTGTTTGTAGGTACTTAGGAGTGACATTTTGTTTGCAGGTGTTATTTCTGTTGCATGATTCTGGTGATGGTTGTCACCTTGGAAGTATTTTGTTGGATGATCCACTCCTAGCTAAGTAATTGGTTGACAGACACTTCTGTTTAAAAACAAACTTCTAAATAAAACTTAAATAACCAAATTGATGACTTTTAGAATGGTTGTTTTTGTAATTATTAGACATACCTAGAATTTTAAAGGTAATTTCATATTGTAAACTTTAAATATGAAATTATTATTTTGGCATGTAAATATTTTTGTTTTAATCTTCTCACTGACTCACAAGTGTTTCTCTTTATTTAGGAAGCTGAACAAGCAAGAACAGACTACTTCATTAGGACACTCTTACTTGAATTTCAAAATGTAAGTATTTTCCATTTAGAGACAGTTTCTAAGAATATGTACCCTAAAGAAAGGATATGTATAAACAGTATACTATCTTATCTTACATAGTTAAGGAGATGTGTTGTTTTTTTTGTTATGTAGTGTAACAAAGAAGAAAATCAGATGTAATATTTTATTGTCTTAAGCCTTATATATATCAATTAAAGTAATATAAACTTTAACTCACTTAGAATTTTTTCCTAAATTGAATTCACACTATGGAATAATTGGTTTCTTTGCTGTAGATATTTTTCCTCTATTGCAGTAAACAGATTATGTTATTATTTACAGAATTATTACCCACTTTTACTAGTTTACAATGTTTTAGAAAGAGACAAGCCACCATCAAAACTAGTCTTCGAACTTCCGTGGTGTCCAGTGGTTAAGAATCTGTCTGCCAGTGCAAGGGATCCCTGGTCCCGGAAGATCCCCCTTGCCTTGGGGAAACTAAGCCCATGTGCCACAACTACTGAGCCTGCTTGTCTAGAGCCTGTGCTCTGCAACAAGGGAAGCTACCATGATGAGAAGCTGTAGCACCACAATGCAGAGTAGCCCCATTCACCACAACTAGAGAAAGCCTGTGTGCAGCAATGAAGACAGTGCATTCAAAGAAAAAGAAAAAAACCTAAGTCTTCATTTAGATATATCTTGTTTTCACTTGAGGCCTATGACTTCAACATAACTATATAAAATGACATTTTTTTCAGGAAAAAATCAAAGGAGGAATAAAAAACCTGACAGATATGAGCGAATGCCTATCAATTCTTCCTCAGTCTTAAATTTAAAGTAAATAAGCTTGGCAATAAAGCTTACCATTCTTCCCCAACCAGTGCATTTATAAACATACTTAATTCCTTCCTGATTATAAGTAGACATGGTTCCAGTAATTGTAGCAACCCCTGACCCGACTAATCATTTCCCTTTAGTTGACTCAATTATTATCACTTTGGTTGCTATCTTTTAATCTGTACTAATAATGATAGGTATTTTATGGAATTTCAGTAGTGTATCAGGCATTTCAGCTCTCTTAGCTTGTATAGGGGTAGTACTGTTTTCTCCTTTGCCCCCTTATGAAGATGGTCTTTGAGAAGTTAGGTAACTTGCCTAAAGTTACTAAATGACAGAAGCAGAATTTGAACGCAGTTTTGCCTGAATTCCAAGCAGTGCTTTTTCTGCTTAACACCTAGAATAGCCACTCTTCAGGTTATTAAAAATTACCGAAGTTTCCAAAGAGCTCTTGTTTTTGTGGGTTATATCTTTTAGCATTTACTATATTGAAATTAAAACTGAGTTGTTTTTTTTTTTTTAATACACAACCAGACATTCCATTAGCTCTCAATGTGATGACATCATCCTAAGTCATGTAGCCTTGAGAAGACTGATGAGACAATGAGTGGAAATGGCAAATAACACCTTAGTATTATTAAAATAGTGTGAAAGCCATTTCACAAACCCCCTTGAAAGGGCAGAGAGATGGATGGCAGCCTGCACCATAATTTGAGTAGGTTTGGGTTTGGAAATTTTCATTTCTAATTTTCTTTTTCATTTAAATAGTCTATTAGCCTTCTAACTATAATAGATTCTAAAACAATACTTATGGTATATTTCTCATCCATTTACTACTGTAGATTAACTAAATAGTATATATAGTATAATGGTTAAAGTGCAGGTTTTGGAAGTAAGACTGCCTGCTTTCAGATCACATACTGTCATCTGCTATGAAACATTATACAAGTTATTCTTTCTGTCTCAATTTCCTTACCTATAAAATTAGGATAATACTAATAGTACCTTCCCCTTCATATTACATGGGGGATTAAGTAAAGGTATGTGATAAATGTAGGCTGTCAATTTTTTTTAACAAGGTGCTGAGTATGACATATATATCTTAGAAATGGCAGCAAAGTGAGATATACAGCTTTTCTGTATGGTTTAAAATTTGCAACTGTATTTTCATAAAAAATTTGTAACTATATTTTCATAATGGTTGAATTTCTGTTATTCTTGAAGGAATCCCGTAGGCTGTATCAGTTTCATTATGTGAACTGGCCAGACCATGATGTTCCTTCATCATTTGATTCTATTCTGGACATGATAAGCTTAATGAGGAAATACCAGGAACATGAAGATGTGCCTATTTGTATTCACTGCAGGTACAAAAGAATTTTCTAAATATTAATTAAATATTTTTCAATATAGATGGCATTATAATGTGGGTAATGTATAGCATTTTGAAACACAAGTTTGGGATTTCATTAGATTGGTCATTATATGGGTTTCTAAATAGTAAAAGCTATTTGGATCCTGAGGCAGTTTTCCTTCTTAATTTTTTATTTTACATTAGATCCTTCCAAAAGACTTAAAATCATAGTACTTATTATATAAAACAGCAATTTATTTTTTAAGTGACTTATACGTGCATTCACATTTGTTATAAAAGGTAAATGAAATTTTTTAGGCTCAGAGGTTAATTAACTCAGGTTAATTCAATAGTTAAAAGATATTAGTGGAGTTATATTTAAAATGGATAGCCAACAGGGGCCTACTCTATAGCACAGGGAACTCTGCTCAATGTTATGTGGCAGCCTGGATGGGAGGGGAGTTTGGGGAAGAATGGATACATGTATATGTATGGTTGAGTCTCTTTGCTTTCCACTTGAAACTGTCACCTCATTGTTAATTGACTTGAATATAAAAAATAAAAAGTTAAAAAAAGACATTGGTGGTGATGGAGCACCAAATACAGTTTTCTTGGTCGGATTGTGATGCCTGTATTAGTGAAGTGAAAGGGCTGCTTTTTCTTTATGAACCAGAAAGGTGACCTACTGATGTAGACATGGGAATCAGTTAGCAACCTGCTTAATTAAAATTATTTTTCTTTAGTTCGTCTGTGATTAGCTGAGTCTAAGTAGTTAACTGGTTAAAAAGAGAAGGGTGTGTTTAATTGTAGAATTGTAAGATAAAGAAATTGCTTTGGCTTGATTTCTTTATAATTTAACTGAAATTATTTCCTGTTGTATTCATATTGTCCAGCCAATGTATATAGGTCATAAATCCAATTTGATGTGAAGATTTTTTTTAATAAAATAAGTTGATCATTTAATATTTTTGAACAACCAAAATACTATGTTAACTGTAGTGTTTCACTGATATGGTTGTCTTTGTAATATCACACTTTTAACCATCAAGTTTTAAATATATATCATTTAGCTCTAATAACTGTTAACTCTAAAATTTTAGAAATGTTTTGATGTGTGAAATTAACAAATAAATCAGTGGTTTAAAATTAATATTATTGATGTCTATTGTTAAGAGCTTTTTTAAAAACCATACAAAATTGCTTATAATGTACTTTATCATGAATTCTTAGATTACATGTTTAACAAATTACTGATATTTCTAAAAGTTTCAAAATACATATTAAAGTGCTGCCCAAATTTTTTTCTGCCTAAAATTATTAAAGATGTCAGTAACATCTTTATTTACTCATAGTGATTTTCAGTCCTTGGTTACATTTGCCTCCCTCTAGCTGAAAACCAGTTGCTTTAAAGTATTTTTGTCATGTTTTAAAATAACTAACTTTGATATTTTACTTTACATTCTTTAGGTTCTATTCTTCAGGAGATTAGAAAGCATTAGTGGCCTTTCTTTCTTTAGTGTAATCACTGCTTATGTTTAAACCAGTTTCTAGGGCTTGTTAATCTTCATCTTTCCTGTACCTTTTGCAAATTGAAATGATGTAGATTTCTTCCTCCACCAGAGCTATCTAGGACATAGTATAAATTTATCTCTGCAAGATATTTTGCTAGCTAGACAAGGTTTCAAGAGGTAGGCAGACTTCCAAAGTGAAGGCTTCAGGCTTCTAGATATTACTCTTGAAAGTTTCTTAAATTAAAGGAAAACAAGATATAAATCATAACGTTAAGGATGTTTGCCTGCACACACCTTAAGTTGTAGTTTACTTACTAAATAAGTAGAACTTTGTCAGCTTTCGTAAATGATTTTTTGCATCTGAGTATTAACATATCCATCCACGTTTATCTTATAGTTCTTTTATTACAAAAATCAATTTTTTTTTTCAAATTTTATATCCATAGTGCAGGCTGTGGAAGAACAGGTGCCATTTGTGCCATAGATTATACATGGAATTTACTAAAAGCTGGGGTAAGAATAATTTTTCTATAACATTATATCTAATTCATCTGTTAAGATTTTTAAACTTATGACTAGTTCCAGTAAATTATAGCATATGTTTTGTTATACATGTTACTACTTTTTTAGAAGTAGCTTTGCTATGTAAGAGATAAAGGCAGTAAAAGATATAAATGATGCATATTAGCTTGAGATAATACACTGGGCAGCAAAATAAACATATTGTCACTCATTTGTTCTGGATGAATTTATACCTACATTAGACATGTACACTCTGCATTGACGTTTCAAAATACTGCCCCCCTGTTGCCTTTTATATTTATCTATGTATAAATATAATCAATTCAGTGAATAATTATGTCTACCTGGAAACATTATATAGTATAGTAGTTAAGAATGCTGACTAGAACTAGACCTCCCAGGTTAAAATTCTGGCTCTGTCATTTACTAGTTGTGGGATCTTGGTCAAATTACTTGATCTCATTGTACCAGAATTTCTCTATTTGAAAGTGGGAATCATAACATCAATAATTGAAGAATTAAATAAATTCTTAAGAAACTTGTAAAGGTCATCACTACTATGTGTGGCAGGTAGCAAGCGTTCCATTTACTGTTAGCTTTTATTATTATCCTTCTTATTATTGTTGCTACTAGTTTCTGTTTTCAAGAAATTGGTTTTGATACCATGGAGGATATAAAGAAATAGCCTTCATTACAGATATAAAAAGCATAAGTCTCCTCATTATATGTAGATTTGGTTTATTTGCTGATTCGATAGTACATTTATTTTCTATGAATTAGGAAGAAGTTTTATTCTTCATAGCATTATAGTTTCTATGAATATGTCAATCTGTCATATAAAATATGAACAATAAAATTTATTTTCTTTTCCTTCTTTTATTTTCCTTTTTTTTCTCTGCCTTTCCATTTTGTACTTTTGCATAAGGAATATTTAAATTTTCAATAGTTTTTCAAAAAGCCTGTTAAGTTTTATTTTTGTATTCCCCCATTCTAATCATATCCTGATACTTATATGAAAATTTTTAAGTGGCTTTATAACACATTTTAACATAAAAATCAGGGATTAAAATCGGGATGGGAAGCATTTGGATGAATACACGCAGACAAACATCTTGTCACTTCAGAAGGATTGTGTATCTTGAATATAGTCCCCATTTGATTGAGTTTGACATAACAAATATAATCTTAAGCCTTAGGTTAGGAATTGATAAAAAAAATATTTTGATATATGTCAAGACTCTTAAGCAGTGAACCTAGAAATCATGTTTAACTTTTCTATCTTCATCTCTCCAAAATATTCTTGCTGATGACCAAGTTCTAATAATTCTGCCTCAGCAATATGCCTCAAATCTGTTTCTACTTTTCTTTTTTTCTTTTTTTTTTTTTTCTGGACTGCTTCAGTAAACCTCTACCAGTTTCTCCCCTTTTCACTCTGTTATTTTCCCTGCTACAGAAGTTACCGGAATATCACATCTGCTCATGTCGTGGTTGCCTATTGTAGTAGTTAAAATACCAGGTGTAGAAACTAATTCTGTAGGATTCACAATCAGTCTCCAGAGACAGAGCTCTCTTATAGAGACAGCCAAGAAAACACTAGCCTATAAAATGAATTCAAACTCTTTATCATGTTTGTATTCTGATGCCAAGTAGCCTTATCTTTTCTCTTTTGAATAGCTCTCCTTCATTCAGTCTTTCAGTCAGTTTTATCTACATCAAGCTTCTCTATTCCCCAAATAGATTATACATTCTGTTTGCCATGTTTGTGTATATTTCTTTCATTTTTCACTCATACCAATCAGAGTTGGTCACAGTATATTTACTCCCACTGTACTGCAACCATACGTTGGCTGGACATTTATCTGTCAACATATCTGGCTCACTAACTTAACTGCTGAGAGTCAAAATTAGTTCTTGGCTCTAGACAGTCTCTGATACATGGTAGGTAGTGCTTAATAAATGTTTTCAGTTATCCAGCTATATGTAACGTCTGTATGAAAAGTTGAAGACTGTTATACTGTTTTTCTGAATTGTTGTCCAGAGTTCATGTTTAAATTCTTTGTTTTAGAAAATACCAGAAGAATTTAATGTTTTTAACTTAATACAAGAAATGAGAACACAGAGGCATTCTGCAGTACAAACTAAGGTATGTTTTTCTGTTTCACTTTATTAAGTGTATTTTTATAATTGCCTTCATTTTTTAATGTCTTTTCCCCTTGTTTATCACTTCATCTCCTTAATAGGAACAATATGAGCTTGTTCATAGAGCTATCGCCCAACTGTTTGAAAAACAACTACAACTATATGAAATTCATGGCACCCAGAAAATTACTGATGGAGTGGTAGGTGTTCTGTGCCTATTAATTTTAGAAAATTTACTTTTTACCAAGATGTGATATTTAGCTTTTTCATTTTCATTTTGTGTTTTATCTAATAATAAATATCTGTTAGTTATTAGTTTTATTTAATTCCTTTTCTTCTCCCTATTTCAGTCTCTACTGTGATGAATATTCAATGACTCTAATAAAAGTTAAATAATATTCTAAATAAGTTATGAATTTAGATCTTAAAAATTATATAATTCAATATAATTTCAAGTATAGATTACTTTTAACAAATTAATTGCATTTTTGTCTCCCCTTCCATCCAACAAAAGAAATTCTAAGTTGATTCTACATTAATTTTATTTTTTTTTTGGTCATCATGATATACAGCTTTGTCATTACTTTGTATGTGCTTTTTAATTAAGTAGAATTATAGGATCATGATTATGTCCCTTTGGGGCTTTAGTTCTTTGTCATTTTAGTGTTTTCTCACAGTGCTCTCTTTCTGCCTTTTTAAAAAGTTCTCCTCTTACTTCCTCTATATAATCATTCTATCCTTGAAGGTATTGGGCTGTTTTTTGGAGTTTTTTGGATAAATTTCTTTACATCTTTATTATTGAACTTTTGATAAACCAATTTAGCCCCAATAACTTAAGTAAAATGAAGATATTAGTGGCAAAATTTATAACCTTTGTTTTAATTTTTTCCCCCTTTATGTGGTTTTGGCAATTTCCGAGATTATTTGTTTGAAATATCTTGGTGTTATAAATGAGAGATTTGTTAACCAAATGCTTATTGCCTCAGTGTGTTAAGTAATCTAATATTGACCCATGGATTTGGGGATAGTGTATTTCCTTTATTAGACATGTGATAGTTTCAGATTTTTAAGATTCATGCATGTGACCTCATTCTTATTTCCTTCATCAACAAAGGAATCATTATGCAACTATGCCTCATGTATTATCACATCTGTTTTCTCTTTAGTTTAATTAAAGCCTGTTATAGCCTGTGCTCAACATAGCCAAATATTTTATAATATAAAATAGAATGTCTGTATATTACTGTGTATAATTTTACTTGAGACTCCTTTAAATTTACAAAAACTAAGTAGGCTACATTTTTCTTTAAACTTTAATTGAAAAATATTTTTGTTTTTTTCCATAAATGCAATGTTAATTTCAAAGTTAAAGTTTTTATATTTCAGAGTTATACCATTTCCTTATTTCTAGAAACAAATATTTTTAATGTATAGAAATTATTTACATTAATTTTTGTTGAGATACAATTAACATGTAACATTACTTTCCAGGTGTACCCCATTGTGATTCGACATTTACATATATCGTGAAATTATCACTATAATAAGTCCAGTTAATATCCATCATTATACATAGTTAACAGAATATTTTTCTTGTGGTTAGAACTGTTAATATTTGTTCTCTTATGTGCTAAGTCATGTCTGACTCTGTGTGACCCTTTGGACGTAGCCTGCCAGGCTCCTCTGTCCATGGGATTCTCCAGGCAAGAATACTGGAGTGGCTTGCCATGCCCTTCTCCAGAGGATCTTTCTGTCCCAGGAACTGAACCCAGGTCTCTCATGTCTCCTGCACTGGCAGGCAGATACTTTACCACTGGCACCACCTGGGAAGCCCATTTACTCTTAGGAACCTTCAGATATAAAATACAGTATTATTAATTATAGTCACCAAACTGTATATTATATCCCATGACTTACTTATTTTCTAACTGGAAATTTCCAAATTTTGACCCTGTTTCACTCACTCTGGGTCTATCACTGACACCACCTCTTTCAAGCATCAATCTGTTTTCTGTATCTTTGAGTTTGGTTTTTTGTTTTCTTATTCCACGTGAGATCATATGCTATTTGTCTTTTCTCTGACTTAGTTCACTTGGTATAATGCCCTCAAGTTCCATTCATGTTGTTGCAAATGGCAAGATTTCATTCTTTTTTAAGACCAAGTGATATTCCATATTCCATTTGTGTGTGTGTCTGTGTGTATCTTTAAGTTCGTGTTTCGTTTTCTTCAGATAAATATACAGAAGTAGCATTGCTGGATCATATAGTAGTTCTATTCTTAATTTTTTGAGGAACCTCTGTGCTGTTTTGTATAATGGCTGCATCAGTTTGCATTCCCACCAACAATACACAAAGGTTCCCTTGTCTTTTTGATAATTGCCATTTTGATAGGTATGAGATTTTGATTTGCAGCTCCCTCAATATTAGTGATGTTGAGCACCTTTTCACATACCTGTTGGCCATCCTCGTGTCTTTGTAAAAAATATCTTTTCAAATCTTCCATCCATTTTTTAATTGACTTGTTTGTGGTGGGGTTTTTTTGTGTTTGTTTTTTGGTTTTGTTTTGCTACAGTGTTATGTGAGTTTCTTAAATTTTTTTAGGTTTTAACCCTTCATCAGATACATGGTTTGCAAATATTGTTTCCCATTTGGTAGGTTGCCTTTTCATTTTCCTGATTGTTTGCTTTGCTATGCAGAAGCTTTTTAGTTTGATACTTAGTTTAATCCCACTTGCTTAAATTTGCTTTTGTTGCCTTTGCTAGGAAAAAAAAAATTACAGTGTTCAGTGTTGTATTTTTTAAAGCTTTTAACTGTATTTAAGTTATCTCCAGAAAATATGTGATAAACATTGCATTATTTTCATCTTTGTTTTCTCATTACCTGATTTTTCTTTAGATTTTATTCTTAAAATTAAACTTCCTTTGTACTAGCCTGAACTGCACATTACAAGTATAATTTTGTTATAGTTTCTGCCTAGTAGCTCAAAGGTTTACAAATCCCCAAGGCATACAAGAAAAATCATACATTATATGAGATTAGGTGAAATAACATACAATAGCAGATAGTTATTTCAGTCCTAGTCTCTTATCTCATTTCCTGGTTATATAGGAGACACATACTACATGCTTGCAACTTTAACTTCTGTTAAAGCTGACAGGGTGACTGCTGAATTTGCCATTTGAACAAGGTGGGTTTTCCTATTTTGCAAGAGGGAAAAACAATTTTCTATAGAATCCATTATAAGAAAGCTGTATTTGATAGCTTTGCCAAAGGTTGTGTACCATAATGTCTGGAATGTATTTTTCAGTGGATGAATGGATAAGACAAGTGGATAGAAGTGGATAAAATATCTTATCATTTTAGATAATTTTTTAAAGTTTTCCTCTTAAGAAATCTTGTTTTCTAGGTACTTTAAAATATAAATGACTTGTTTTTTAAACATGTTTATATATGGTTGGAAGCCACAAATCCCAGTCAGAGATATGTGGGATCTAAAAAATTGGGGGAAATTATCTTAGAACTGTATGATGAGTAAAATGATTTGAAATATATTACTTACATTTTTGAACCTATGCTCTGAGAAATAATCATAAATCTCCCTTTATTATTCCTCTGACTACTTAATATGGAAGTTGAGGAATTAAAAACAAAATCTCTTAAAGCTCTATGTTCTGGAATTATTTTTGTAGAGATTTTCATTTGAAATGCTAGTCAACAATATGACTGTTTAATAAAGAGTATTTGTTAGAGATATTTACAACTACAACTAAAATCACTTCCAAGAGTAGGAGATCTAAAAAAGAAAAAAGTAGGAGATCTAAAGAGAAAACTTATTTTCAAATTCGGTAGCATGGACTTGGGATATAGAAATACCTCAGTAAGCAAGTATCTCTAAGGTGTGCATACATGCCTTTTTTCTTGTATGTAAAAGATACTACCATTAGTTGACGCCAGAATTTTCGGTTTTAGGATTATTGAGTAAAAACAACAATAATTTGTGTCATGATCCTTGTTATGTTTATGTTGTACATTTTAGGAGTGATATTATCGAATTCTGAATTTTTTCCTCATTTTTTTTTTAAGCACCTTGTTGTAATATTTATTTTGTCCTGCAAGTGATAATACATCCTTAGTTCAGTTCAGTTCAGTCGCTCAGTCATGTCCAGCTCTTTGCGACCCCATGGACTACAGCATGCCAGGCCTCCCTGTCCATCACTAGCTCCCAGAGTTTACTCAAATTCATGTCCATCAAGTCGGTGATGCCATCCAACCATCTCATCCTCTGTCATCCCCTTCTCCTCCGGCCCTCAATCTTTCCCAGCATCAGAGTCTTTTCCAGTGAGTCGGTTCTTTGCATCAGGTGGCCAAAATATTGGAATTTCAGCTTCAGCATCAGTCCTTCCAATGAATATTTAAGACTGATTTCCTTTAGGATGGATTGGTTGGATCTCCTTGCAGTCGAAGGGACTCTCAAGAGTCTTCTCCAACACCACAGTTCAAAAGCATCAGTTGTTCAGTGCTCATCTTTCTTTATAACCCAACTCTCACATCAATACATGACTTACTGGAGAAACCATAGCCTTGACTAAACAGACCTTTGTTGGCAAAGTAATATCTCTGCTTTTTAATACGCTATGTTGGTCATAGCTTTTCTTCCAAGGAGCAAGAGTCTTTTAATTTCATGGCTGCAGTGATTTTGGGGCCCAAATTGCCATAAAACAATGGGACCGAATGCCATGATCTTAGTTTTCTGAATGTTGAGTTTTAAGCCAACTTTTTCACTCTCCTCTTTCACTTTCATCAAGAGGCTCTTTAGTTCTTTGCTTTCTGCCATAAGAGTGGTGTCATCCTTAAGTATTTGACTATTAGGTTCTAATTGGGTTTTTTTTTGGCCCTTGATACAGCTCTGTTATGTGGAAATATTAATACATTAACATAACTTTAGTGAAATGGATGAAGGTGGTCAGAAGTTTTAAAGTAATTTTAGTAATCTCTGCTTGAAACAAACAATATACTAGAACCTAATCTTTGGTAGATTCTTTAATTTCTGAAATACCTTTCAACTTCAAAAGTTGGTGATTGTTTTAACTGGTAATAAAAGCAGCCAAAGAGAGCAGTATACATTAGGACAAATGTGGGGACAAAAGGTGTATATATAAGAGGATCAGAAGATATAACAGTACAGCAAACATTATTGCAGGTAAAAACTAGGAATCCAAGAACATTGTTCCGTTCTTAAATCCAGTGAATAGGAGGTTTTGTTCTTGCAGTGTGGGCAGTGGCTGTCTTGAGTTGCATTTCTGCCTTGCCACATTAATTCCTTTAATCATTGGAAATTCAACATGCTCAAAATCTGACCTCGCCCAGAAGGTCTTTTCCTCTTATGTCCCTTTTTGTTAATGGCACTCTTTCATCCAGAATAAGGAGTCTTTAATGATACCTTCTTTGCTTTGTCACATATAGTCATTTGCCTGCAAATATCCTTACTTTCTCTTCCTGTTCCAGTCCCACCTGTTCTATACCTCGCTCCTCTGTTCTCCTTGTCAATGTCTTATCCACCCCTTAATGCCATTCTGCATGGTACGTTCATATTTTCAACTTCTTAATATATTCCCCACTATATCCTTAATATTCTCATCTATATCATTTCCTTTCTCTGATTTCATAGCTTCAATGTACAGATTTTACCACTTTATGATTTACTACCCTTTCACTTTTTTGTTGGATGGTTATATAATTCTTAAAGTTAGGGGCTATGTCCTTTACATTTTTGTATCCTTTTCAATGCTTGCTGTTCTAAAATTGAAAATGCGCTGAAAATGTACTGTTGGTGTGTTTGTGTGTGTGCGTATGTGTTTGGTATTTGGTGGCAAAACCTGACTTGACATGACATGAGGCTGTTTATGTTTTAATTATTACAAATTGCTGTGTTTTTGTAAGTTAGAAACAGTTATTTAACCTAGTGAGAATATTTATATAGATTTTAGTACAAATATATTAATGAGTGCTATTTTGGGTGTATGATTGTTTAATTAATAGAAATAATAAGCAAATGATTACTACCATGTTAGAAGAATCTTTATGATGCAGAGTCTAAATTCTGGTGATAGTCGAGGACCTAAAAGTGTGGTAATGAAGAGTCCTGATTTACTTGAAGCAAAACCAGTTTATACTTGTTGTCTAGGTGTACAAGTCCTGATTTGGACAATAAATTGTATGGTCACCCTCCCTATAGCAGATATCCCTACAACAGAAGCCTCCAATTTGAGAGGTGGCTAATGAAGGATGAAAACTTTCATCTCATAATGTAACTCTTGTTTTGATTAGAACAAGATACACAGTGAAATGTGTAAGACACTTCAGATGCATCTGATATTAGGAGACGGGTACACTCAAATTTGCTGTAGAGTTAGAGTCTGATTCCTTTTGTTGGGAGTACTTAGTAAAAAAGGACACTGGCAAGAAACTGTTATATAAGGAAGATGTCATGATGGACATGAAAGAGGTTCATTTGATTAAAAAAAAAAGCAAACTACAGTTTCAGAGTTTTTAGTTGACACAGTTCATAGGGTCATAAAGAGACAGACGCGACTGAGTGACTAACTTTTTAGTTGATTATAGTATCTAGAAAGATGTTTGTTTGTTTTCTAAAATTATGTAAGATGTAGGCAAGGGTGAAAATCATTCTAGTCTTCCGGCCCAGATTTAACACAGCCTAGCTATATAAAAATGAGGTACTTTCTGAAGCTAAACTAATTCAAGACAATGTTTTATATAATAATTTCACATCTCTATTCACAATCATAACTAAAGACAACCTAAAGCTGTACTAACTCTGGATCGTCCCTTTTAATGACTTCACTGGTCCATGTCACCAGCAAGAACTGAGTATATCCCTGGAGGCTCTGCCTGCCTTTTGTGGGTCCATTTGGTTAGGCAGTGATATAGGGGTTGTGTACCCTAATGGAGTAGGTATTCTATGTTGACAGAGGGATGATGGAGCAATGAATGATTAAAGTTCATTTCACGACCTGTTTAAAAATAGTAGGCAGCAATAGGTGTCTCCAAGAAGTTTAGGAAAGTTGAAGGACATAAGACTTACTTTGTGGGTCCCCTTCGCCCGACATCTGCATGTTACAAATCTAGTGGTAGTGATGCCTTAAAAAAAGATCTTTGATCTTCATTTTCTTGAAACATCTGTTTCTTTGCAGGAGCGTTTGAAGTATATTGAAATGCTGCTGTATACGATTGACTTTTTTAGTAACTAGAGATGGACTTTTTTTATATATTAATTTTTCTCATTGAATTTGGCTTTTCATTATTAAATATAGAAGATATAATACCTATTTGATTATTCAGCAAAATTAGCATTGTTTTAAAAATTCAAAAGCCCAATTAAAAAGTTTATCTGAAACATGAGGAAGGAAAATTATTTTTCCCTTAACCTTAATGAGGCTTTTTTTCCTCTTGGCAGAATGAAGTTAACACTGAAAATATGATCAGCTCCATAGATCATGACAAACAAGATTCTCCCCCTCCAAAACCACCAAGGACCCGCAGGTATTGTATGTCACATTTTGTTTGAAACGATACTTATCTTTTACTTACTGTTACTAAAATAACAAAAATCTGAATATTACTAAGTTGTTTTTTTTTTTAATAACTTCTCTTATCATTCTTTTGTTTAGAATGTAACATATGTATGGCAGCTGATCTTTTAATGGTATACTATAAAAAATACTTTTCAATTTAGATAAATTTTCAGTAGTATACCAGAACAGTGAGCATAATCATGAATTGATTATAGCTCATCTTTCGATATGGAACAACTAAAAATTTAGCTATTATAAAGATTTATTTCAGTTTTCTAATAACAAGTAATAAGACTGTCAAATTATTTGCATGTTGAAGTTATATGAAGAGGTTAAATAATATTATTAGCAAAGATGAGTTAATTTATCTCTAGATTATCTTACTTTCATACCAAGTGCTCATTTATAATAGATAAAAATATATATTCCTGTTACCCTTTTTCTCTCCCGATTCTTTCAGGTTAGTGCTAGGTCAGGTGGATGGTAGTGTGGAAAGAATATAGGTAGTCAAAATGATTTTGTTTGAAATCCTTTTCAGCTGCTTATGAGCTTTGAAGTTGTAAGTCACTTAATTTATTTGATTTTTGTTTTCTGTTTGTTTGGTTGATTCATTGGTTTCTTTTTAAGTATTTTCCTGAGGAGTAAATCAAATGATGTATATGAAAATGCTACATATAGGACATGGCACATGGTTTTCACCAAATGTTGGTTTTCTCTTTAAAATGTAGAGTTAAGATTGAGTTACTGAGTTAAAAGGAGGCGCAGTGGAAGATTTGTAATAATGCTATTGGGATGACTTTACTGTGTCTTATCTCAAGCATGGATCTGCCCAAACAGCTTGACCTTCCGCAAAGTAGAACTTCTTTGTATAGGATTCACCAATTTTTTTCCCCTTAAAAGTTTGATAGTAGTTGACTAAAGTTGGATGAGGCAACTATGATTGTGTCTTGGCATTGAGTTACTGTACTTTATGAGATCCTTCTTTACAAAAGTAAAAGCTTACAATAAGTAAGAAAAGATGTAATAGTTATCATATATCATAGTCTCTAGAATTCCTTTGCATGCTTCTATAAGGAAGATCAGGAAGCCTATGATGGTTTTAGGCGTCAGGGTTTAAATGCTCAGGGTGTCAGCTGCCCACTAGCACTTCTCAGCAGTTCTTTCTTGTTTGATTTTCATTTTCATATTTGCTGTGGAAGGTAGTCAGTTTAAACCTATAGCTTGTCAGTTCTCTAACTTTTTTGTCTCCCATACTGTCAGTTCTTTAGAGTCCTAAAGACACTATAATGACCTTAAAGGAAATTAAGAAACATTGTTTTGCTATACTAAAATCTTTTCATTTGGATTTTGAGATTGAGCCAAGGTCGAGGTCCTCAAAGTATGCACTGATATTTATGATTTATATGGTCATCTACCTCCAACAACAAATAGTGGTAGCCTCTTCCTAATTTTGAGGGAGAAAAAAATGAGTAGAGTGTTCTGAATTTTAAACCCTTCTCATATACCTTTTTTAAGACTTTGAGTCCTGTTTTTCTCCAACAAACGAAAAGGTAATTTTAAAAAGCAGTAAATGAGTGTTAACAGAAAAATGTTCATTCAGCTTATGTCATGGTTTTATTTGGGGATATATACTCACATTTTTATGTGTGTGTGATTTTGTATAACACACTTAGGTCATCTTTCTTATTCATGCAGTAAATTGGCAGAATTTCATTGTGTTCCACAAAGAATACTCTGTTAACTGAAAATAAAATCCAAATAGCGTAAGACTGATGAAAAACAGTACACTTTGTTTTATAGTAGGCTGCAGTAAGCAGGTTAATCTGTTGTGTAGGTTATATTGGAGAAGGAGGCTCATTTGTTGTGTTCGATTTAGTCATATGATTCTGCTTTATAAATATTTAAATTGTAGATTTAAAATGAACAGAGCCAGGAATTATCAGACATTTGATAAAAGATTCTAACATGAAAGACATATCCAAATAAGCAGGGAAAAGGGGGACGTGGATAAAACAAAGACAGCACACAATGGGGGGAGGGGCCTATTTTCTCAGTACTTAATGCTACAACTATGAAATAAGAACCAGAGAGCCAGATCATAATAAAGAAGATACTCTTGGGAATTAAAAATAATAGCATAAGTTTTTAAAATCAAAATTTAATTTTAATTAAGGAAGGCTCAAAGATAAGGAAATGTCCCAAAAAAATGAACAAAAAGAGAAAATGTGGAGAAAAGATATTAGAGAATCAAATTAGGAAATTTGTCACATAGTAAAAGTAGTAACAATAACGAAAACTAAACCTCACCATAGTCTGGAAGGAGACTGGAAGAGAATAAATTAGCAAAGAAGTAAGTCCCTAGTATTAACATGTTTGTATAGAAAGTTCTTAATACAGTGGACTAAATACTGTAATACAACGGATTTTAAAAAGTTAACACTCTGAGATTGTGGGCTTCCCTCGTGGCTCAGATGGTAAAGAATCCGCCTGCAATGCAGGAGACCTGGGTTGATCCCTCAGTTGGGAAGATCCCCTGGAGGAGGGCATGGCAACCCACTCCAGTATTCTTGCCTGGAGAACCCCCATGGACAGAGGAGCCCGGGCTGCAGTCCATGGGGTCGCACAGTCAGACACAACTGAACAATTAAGCATGCATGAGATTATAGAACATCAAAGGTTTTTCTTTTTTTTTTAAAAAAAAAAAAAGGAGAACCTTGAAAGCTACAAGAGGGAGAAAAACAGCTCACATTCAAAGGAACAGGAATCATAATTCTGATATAAAATTCTGAAGGAAAATTATATCTAGTCTAGAATTTATACCTTTTCCAAAAGTCAGTAATCTTTGAAAATATAATAATTATATGGGCCTCAGGAAATTTGTTTCCTATTTATAGTTTTTAAGAAGTAATTGGAGGGTATAACCCATTAAATCAAGCATGTATACCCAGAAAAAGGAAGATGTGATCTGGGAAACAGGATCGTCTGCTCTGCTGTGGCCTCAGGGGCCAGTGGTCCAAACTGGAGTGGGAAGCTCAAGGTTTCTAAGAGGGACGTCTCTGTGGTATTGATGGTTATGTGGTGTGTTTGACCATTTGAGAGGTGGTGCTCAAATCTGCAGGAAAATTTGAAGGACTGAATTACAGATAATATATAGGAAACCCAAGGCAATTATTAGGGAAAAACAAGAGTTATGTATGATGCTATCATTGCTATGAATGATAACTTTAGTCATAAGACTGAACTAACTAAACAGTAGTAGTCTTAGGAAGATGGAGAAGACATTTACATAGCTGGAAGACAGTAAAGTGTGTGAAATAGAAAGATCCAGAATAAGTTTGTGCATTTTATAATATTTTGAAATATGGATGTAAATCTTAGAAGCAGCAGTTTTTGAAAAGTTGAAACTTTAGGGAGGGAGAAATGGAGAGAATAGCATGTAACACACTACCGTATGTAAAGTGGATAGCCAGTGGGAATTTGCTGTGTGACTTGGAAGTTAAGCTGGGGCTCTGTGACAACCTCCAGGGGTGGCAGGGAGTGAGGTGGGAGGGAAACTCAAGAGGGAGGGGGCATATGTCTACCTGTGGGTGATTCAGGTTGATGTATGGCAGAAACCAACACGATATTGTAAAGAGGTTATCCTTCAATTAAATAAATTTTTTTTTAAGTTGGAAAAAAAAAAGAAAGTTGAAACTTGATGTTTCAGGGTAACTGGAGGGCTGGGAGGGGACTGCTGGTTTTTTATTAAAATTCTTAATATTATCTAACTTCTTGAAACAATGTTTATGTATTACTACCTTGTTAAACATTTAATTTTCTTAGTTGGGCAAATTTTAATTTTTTATTCATAACCACAGACTTTATTTACTGACTTTTAACATAAGAGGCTTAGCTACATAACTTACCTATCAACTTATTTTTTAAAAGGATGAACATTCTTATAATACCTTTTTTTTTTCTTGTTTCCCAGTTGCCTTGTAGAAGGGGATGCTAAGGAAGAAATACTGCAGCCTCCAGAACCTCACCCAGTGCCCCCCATCTTGACACCTTCACCCCCTTCAGCTTTTCCAACAGTCACTACTGTGTGGCAGGACAATGACAGATATCATCCAAAGCCAGTGTTGCACATGGTTTCATCAGAACAACCTTCAACAGACCTCAACAGAAACTATAATAAATCAACAGAACTTACAGGGAAAAATGAATCAGCTATTGAACAGATAGATAAAAAATTGGAGCGAAATTTAAGTTTTGAGATTAAGAAGGTTCCTCTTCAAGAAGGACCAAAAAGTTTTGATGGGAACACACTCTTAAATAGGGGACACGCAATTAAAATTAAATCAGCTTCGGCTTCACCGTGTACAGTTGATAAAATCTCTAAGTCACAGGAATTGAGTTCAAGAGATCTAAAAGTTGATGATATTTCCCAGAATTCTTGTGTGGACTGCAATGCAACACAGTCAAATAAAGATCCGATTATTCTACCGGAAGCCTCACAGAAGAATTCAGACACACCTCCAAGGCCAGACCACTTACCTCTTGATGGAAAAGGACATTTAACGTGGTCATTTCATGGACCTGAGAAGACTCTACCCATGCCTGATTCATCTGAAGGCAAATCCTCAGATATCCACTGTCAAACAATGAAAACTGTGAGTTCAACACCAAGCCCCACAATACAAGTTGAAACCCATGATCTTGCAGATCATCATGACAGTTCCCCTCTATTCAGAGCACCCCTCAGTTTTACTAATCCTCTTCACTCTGATGACTCTGACTCAGATGAAAGGAACTCTGATGGTGCTGTGACCAAGAATAAAACCAGTATTTCAACAGCAAGTGCCACTGTTTCTGCTGCCACTAGTAGCATTTCTACAAGGAAAGTATTACCAATGTCCATTGCTAGACATGATATAGCGGGAACAATACATTCAGGTGCTGAAAAAGGTAATAATAATAGTATCTACACTTAAAATTTTTTACTCTGTGCCAGTCAGTCACTGTTCTGAGCAGTTTTATTATATTAATTCATTATGTTTTATTCTACACATTACTCCGGAAGATACAGCAAAATTCAATTATTTTTTATCCTAATTTTTTTTAAAGTAAGCCTCTACCGTTGGCTTTCCTGGTGGCTCAGTGGTAAAGAATCAGCCTGTCAGTTCAGGAGACATGGGTTCAATCCTTGGGTCAGGAAGATCCTTGGAGGAGGAAATAGCAGCCCACTCTAGTATTCTTGCCTGGGAAATCCCACGGATAGAGGAGCCTGGTGGGCTACAGTCCATGGGGGTCACAAGAGTCAAATATGACTTATGAACTGAACAATAACAACAATTTATTTTTATTGTTACCTTAGTTTGATCACATTGCATTACCAGACTTTGTGTTTCCAAAATATTTCAATTGTTGTAACTGAAAACTTTCTCTTCTTATATCTTACAATTCTTAGTATAAATGGGTCAAAAGTTTCTATGATTGAATAGTTGGAAATAATTTAGAGAAGGTAGAATTACTTAAAGTGACACTGACATATTGGCTATTTAATTCCACCCATGTATGTCACAGAGAGTAAGGGATTCCCAGGTGGCTCAGTGGTAAAAAATCCGCCTACCAGTGCAGGAAATGAGGGTTCTATCCCTGGTCTGGGAAGATCCTCAGGAGAAAGAAATGGCAACCCACTCCAGTATTCTTGCCTGGGAAATTCCACGGACAGAGGAGCAGGCTACAGTCCGCAAAGAGTTGGACACGACTTAGTAACTAAACAACAAAAACATAATATATCTATTTCATTATCTTTTATGATCTTTTAACTACAACATACCTCTTTAAAATTGTTCTTAGTAAAAGCTCCTTTCAACAATGAGGTTAACCAAGGAGCAATATTGCAACTGCTTAACAGAATATGGGAAGTTTAATTCAGTCAGTAAAAAATAGGATATTTCCATATCTAGTCATCAGTGCTACTACTGTTGAATTAACGACTCTCTAAGCAATCTAAGCATCTCAAGATAACACATGCCCTAAGTTGCACGATGTATTACTGGATCTTGAAACTCCTCTTTAATCTGATAAAAATTACCATGATTGCTGTCTTAAACAGAACATAAAGTTGAGAGCAAATATATAAACACAAAAGCTATTTACTGATAGATTGATTATCAATGGTCTTTTACTTGTCCATGAACTTTGGAAGTGACACATACAGACTGCTATTTATTATGTGCAGGCAAAATTAGTACTGTGAACATGAAAGATGACTTCTTCTAATTCTGACAAGTTCACCCATACTGTGGTCCGTGTTTTCCTCACCTCAAACATTATTTATCATTTTCTTTATTTTGGGGATGTATCTTATAGAGTAGATGAGAGTCTAAGCTAGTTTCTTAAATTTACTAAGAACTAAGCTAGTTCTTGGAGAAGGAAATGGCAACCCACTCCAGTGTTCTTGCCTGTAGAATCCCCGGGACGGCAGAGCCTAGTGGGCCGCCGTCTATAGGGTCACACATAGTCGGACACGACTGAAGCGACGTAGCAGCAGCAGCAGCAGCAAGCTAGTTCTTGATTCTTCTGCGTTTTATTTGAGGGATCTTTAGAAGATACTGGTTGCCATAATAAGTATTGTAACAGTTTGGCATAATTTAAAATTGTTAATATTTTTTCCCTCAACTTCAGGATTTGAAAAATAACTGCTGGGTTATAGCTACACAAGAAAATACATAGACAAGAAATTGTCATTTTTGGGTTTTTTTTGTTTGTTTTAGTGTATCAGGCAGTGCAATTTGACCAAAACTATGCTTAAATGACTTTGGCATTAAAGATTTTCCTGTAGAACATTCTGTGTTGCCACACAACTACAGGCAGTTCTTTTTTTGTTTTGTTTTGTTTTGATCACACTGTACTGAGATCTTAGTTCCCTGACCAGGGCTCGAACTTATATACCCTGCAGTGGAAGTGTGGATTCTTAACCACTGGACTGCCGGGGAAGTCCCTCAAGCAGTCCTAAATTTTAATGTTATTCATTCTTTACCTTGTAGATGAACCATTGACACCAGGATTAGATTATTGTTTGCTTATTTGTTTTAAAATTTGTTATGGAATAATTTTGATGCCGGAAACAACCTTTTGCATAAGTTATTGCCTGGAAACAAATTCCTGGCTATGAATTCTGATTTTAATATTGACTCAGGCTTTCTGAAAGATTTTCAAACATGGCTACACTAGGCTCCCATAAAGTGTATCATTTACAAAAGCCTATGAAAATGTGCATCTCTGGTTAGCTAACATCTGAAACAGAATTTTATTACACAGGAAAGGCAATTCAAAGATCCAGGGAGAAACATGCAATTGAGAAGCCAAGTATACAGTTAGAAAATAAAGTCTTAAAAATGAGGACTGTTACAACAGAAGAGGTATAGTTTCCAAAAGATACTTGATGTAAACAACCAGACGACTTCCTGATTTGGTCACTTAATTATGAAATGACACCACAATGCCAAGATTATGCGTTCCTTCCTTACAATACCCATCTCTTCACCGTGAGCTGGTAGTAACAAAGGGGCAAGGGGAAACAGGATTAAAGTCAGACCGATACTGCCAGGTAAGGTGGATAGTTCCTTTACTTGCTTAACTATATGCAAGAAAGAGTTACAGTACTGATATTACATATATGAAGTAGTGGACTGTAACTCAAACAGCAAAGTGTCATAGCACAGTTGTTAATATTTTTAAGGGTTAGGGATACAAAAAATTGTATCTTCATGTTTTCTTTATCTACCTCCAGTGAAACGTCAAAGGATCTAATAGTCTTCATGTGCATCATAAGGCTAACTGATGAGACTTACTTAATGCATTATCTTTTCCAAGAGCTAATTTTGTTTTTGCTGATGAAAAGCTTTTATAATATGGCTTCAGTCAGTATTCTCAAAGTATGGTCATATGGCACTGTTCACAAGATTTTAGGCACTAAAGAAATGAACATTCCAAAAAAATTTGCTTTCATGTGAATCATTTTACTGGACCCTTTTTAAAAATTATTTTTAATTGGAGGATAATTGCTTATCAATATTATGTTAGTTTCTACCATACATCAACATGGATCAGCCATAGGTATACATAAGTCCCCTCTCTTGCCCTAAAATTTGTAATGGTTATATTTTGTGTGTTAGAAAAATAACTAGCACTATCAATCTATTTTAGTCATGAATATTTATTTAAAACATGACTGAAGTACATCATTAAGTTGAAAATGAGTGGGACTTAAATATATATTTATATGGTCCACAGTATGGCAAAACTCATAAATGGAGTTATGTTGTTGATGATAGTTTGGGAAACACTGATTTCAAACGACAAAGCTTCCCTTTGTGGACTCAAAGGATCATCAGCAAGCCCAGTGGCACTTGCCTGCTGGCTTCCCTGTTGGAGTTTGAAAACTCAGAGGACAGTGTGGTTGATGCCTAAAGGGTGTCAGGAGAATCACTGACATTTCTTCTGTACAACAATGATGGAGGTTTTTTTGCTGAATAAACTTCCTAATTCTTTTTGATAATGAGTCTAGTGATAAGGATATCTTGTTTATTTTTTGCACTTTTAAAGACCAGTTCTCTTAGATACTTGTGACAGTGATTTTTAAGAATGTCAAAAAAGCTCTCATTTTGTTTAGATAACAAGTTCATTTTTAAATGAGTTAACATTTCTAACAAGTTCATAATTTGTCTAAATTTTATGTGTTTAATATAGATGTTGATGTTAGTGAAGATTCGCATCCTCCCCTACCTGAAAGAACTCCTGAATCATTTGTACTAGCAAATGAACATAGTGAGTGTATCTTTCTGATCTTATGTATTTTATACTCTAATAATAAGCTCTGAAAAACATGGCTAATTATAATCTGTTGCTCTTGAGCTGCATAGTTAAATTCAAAAACAGGCTTGAATTTACACTGATAAATGTTTTTAATATTTTGTATGAAGAATACCTTAAAATGTTTTTATTTGCTAAGACTGCTAATAAAATGGCTGCATTTATATCAAATACTATAATTCAGTTAAATGTAATTATAACAGTATATAATTTGTCTTTTCATTCATTAAAAATAGCACTTACATATGAAAAGACATACATTTAAATTCTGTTGTTGGCAGTGTCACTCAGATGATGTTGAGTGACACTTAAGTCCACAAGAATATCAATGAAAAGTGGGAGAAAGCGATCACATACATATTTCTCCTCCTCATCCTGAAAAGGAATACAGAAACAACTTTACTATATTTACAATGTTTTGTGCTCAGTGGAGGTGCTCACTACCTGTCTTATCTGTTGCATTTTACCAATATTTTATTAATTTTAACTGATTTTAAGAATTAAAAAAAAATAGTGAAGCTGTAAACTTCATTAATGCTAAATAAATAAATCTGTCATACCTGTAGATTACAATGTGCTTATATAAGCTCTGATAATGGAATTTTTAAATTCTAAAAAGAAAAAATTGAAGGAATATTCTTCAGTTAATAAAAACTGGGGAAAAATTTAGTGGAAGTGATAGTTTCTAAATATCTGTAATACCTGTTTTTAAATATTACCTGAATGCAAGAAATTTTAAGAATTAAAGATGTTAATTTTAATTGTAAGATTTAATTTTTCTCAGATACATCTGTAGGAGCTGAGTGGAGTGAACTTCAAAATGAGGAACAGTCTGAACAGAAAAAACCTGAAGTGAGTCTTTTGGGGATTAGAACAGCTATAGCTCAGTATTTTTGTTCTTTTATTAATTGATCTTAACAGTTGTTTATTATAATAACTGTCACCTTAATACTATTAAATATAATTTTTGATAATTGTATCTTATGCTATGATTTCAGATAAAAAGCCTATATAAAATGTCAGATCAAAAATTTTTTTAAAGAACATCATGACCATCACTTCAGAGTATTATTTTCCAAGCTGCTTTTGAAATTTGTAACTTATGCCTTGTTTCAAACCATTTTGGAGATATGAATGGAACAGGAGTTAATGATTTTCAGGGTCATAGTACATCCTAGAGTTTGTTCTTTCTATTATAAAATCAGGTATATAGTCTCTCCCTTTGTTTCTTCTGGTTATGTGAGGTTTCCTTTCACATTCAGGAAATGTTTTGGTAGCTCAATATTTTAGCAATGGGAATGCTGTTTTTATCAACATTAATATTTTGTGTATTTTCCTCATATTTGAATATCTCCGAAATTGGAGTTTATCTTAAAATTGGTTAAAAAAAACATTGTGACATACTTTAACTGGTACGTAAAGTATTGGTAACATAATAATAAAGATATGTCTTACAGTCAGTAATATAATTTGATGAATACAGTAGATGCTTGGCAAAATGCACTTGTATGCATATTATCTCATCACTAAATGCTGCAAGTTTGGTTTTCATCCAGAAGGAAAAATGAATTTCCCTGTCTTTTTATTCCCAATATAAAAACACCATATTGAAATTTTTAACTCTTAATTGAAAACACCATTGTTTTCTTTTCCTTTGACACCGAGAATCGTGATAGATCTTGATTTATTGGGATATATACTCCCATAACACCTCAATTCTATACTTTGTGCATGAAAGGGATATACTATAATAGTTTTTGAATGTCTTCCTTATAGGGCTTGATAACCTCTGGAAGTGAAAGATGTGGTAAGTTGGATTGTGTTCTTTTCTGCTATAGATTATATAGATTAAGTTACATAAAATAGCATGTCTCATGGTGTACACATTTGGTTATTTGTTTTTGGTGTTTTTGTTATTATTTGGTTATTTCTCCATGTGAAAAAATATGTAGGATGACTTCTCTGAAACCTGAATTATGTAGTATAATTCTTTTAAATTTATTATTATATCAGGTATTATTAATGGGTCAGGAGCATAAACAGCATTTATTATCAGTCATTAATGACTGATAGGAAGGAAATAATTTTTAGAGTATTTTCTTATATTTTATTTCTGTTGTTTATAAAAACACTTAGAATCTAGATGTGACAGTGATTTCAATAAATGCCCAAAATTAACCTAGATGATTGAATTGGGTTGTTTTGGAAATTTTCTTTTTAGGGCTTTCACATTTGTGAAGGTCTGTAAGATTATGTTAGCTCAACCCAGTGTTATATGCCAAGTTAGAAAATTTTTCCTTTGCATTACTTTTACTATCATAGTAAAATAGGTCCAGTTATTGTTCATTCCTTTAAAGAAGTAACCATGTGAGTGGCTCACCAAACATCCTAGCCTGTACAATTCTCTCAGTTTATCTATCATCTCTGCCCTAACCTCTCTTCTGCCTCAGCTGCTGTCACCTTGAATTTGTGCCTAATGGGGCTCATTCCATCACATAAACTCTTTATTATTCTCTGTTTACTTTTCTGAGGCAACATATAAGGAAAAAGAGCAGAAGTTTTAGCGTCAAGCCTACCGAGATTGGAATCTTATTTTTGCCATTTTACATATGACGTGGCTTTGGGAAGTGACCTAATCTTTCTAGGCCTCAATTTTCTTCTCTGTGAAATGCAGATAATGATAGTAACCTACTCTAGAGTAGGTTATGATTGTTATGAAGGTTTAATTAAATTAAATCATATATACACAGTGCCCAGCACATGGTAGGCATTGAAATGGTAGCAGTGCTGTTATTATTATCTTTATTATATTACTACTGCTAGATCCCTGGGTCTTTTATTTTCTTTGTTAACTCCTTTCTGGTTTCTTTTTCTCCTCTAGTCTAGATATACATCATCCATCACTTTAATCACACACATAGTTATCCTTAACTTTCTTGTCCCTATTCCCATGCCATCTTATTTTATCCCTCAAGATTACTCAATACTGCTGGGGAACATTGTTCAGTTTTATAGATTGAGCATACAATTCTGGGATTGATCCACAGTTGAGCCCTCAGCATTTTTTTTTTCTAAAATCATGAATCCCACTAACTCTTCCTCAGTAGTAAACCTTTTATTTCGTTCAGAAAATTGAGGCTTTTAATCTAAATCATCATTTCCTCATAGAAGGCAACCATGAATATTCACCACCACTAGTTTCATCTACATGCCTCTCTTCTCTGTCCCTATACTTACCACAATGCTATAATAATTAATGTTATTGTCTGTTTCTCCTACTAGACCAAGGGCTGGCAAACTATATCCCATAGGCCTAATTCTGCTCTTGAGTTGTTTTCTTATTCTGCCCTTGAGCTGAATAAATGGTTTTTACATTTTAAAGAGTTGTTTAAACATAAAAACAAAGAAATGCAACATTGTAAATCAACTATACTCCAGTAAAATTAAAAAATGAAATGAATTTTATTATTTTTTAAAGCAAAATTAATTTTATAAAATAAAAACAAAAATCAATGAAGAATATGGGACAGAGACCGTATGTGGCTTACAAAGCCTAAAATATTTATTGTCTAGCCTTATATAGAAAAAGTTTGTCAGTCTCTTTCTAGATTATGAGTACCTGATGACATGGATAGTCTATCATTTGACTTGTATTCCAAGTCTCCAGAAAAGTTCATTACAGGGGTATAGGGGGTGTGATGAAGGTGGTGAGTGGTGAAAGAATGACTGAATCATAGTAGTTGATTTCTTTTGTTACTAGTTTTAAGCACTGGCAGTTAAATAAGTAAACTATCTACAATTTAAGTAATGCTAAACCTTAAAAGAATTACTTAGGTAATTTTTTAGGTGCAAATATTAACTCCATTAATAAACTATGAACTTATTTGCTATTGATTTCCACAGAAAAGCATCTCAGTTGAAGTTAAAGTAAGAGTAAAAGGAGAAGTCTCACATAGCAGATTTCTAGGTGCCTGTAAGCACACCTAACATGATTTCCTGTGTTCATTACCCTTGCATTTGCCTGGGCCTCTAAAAATATGATGCTCAAGAGAAAACTGCTCTTTTAACTATTTGCCCACATCAAAAGCAAATAGAGGAATTTTTTTACATATTATACAACAAATGACTGTGATTAATAATGGCTTTGGTTTGCATTTTAGATCATCCAGCACGAGGTATTCATACAGAGACCTGTACAGAATGTCCACCTACTTTTAGTAACAAGAAAGATCAACAATCAGAAAGTCCAACAGAAGCCACAGAGATTGGTAATTTGTTTACAAAATAACTTTTAAACTATAATTGTGTTTAATGCTGGCAAGAATGAAAAACAGTTATTTGCCATCACTCCAGAATTTCTTAAGGCAAAGTTTATCAAACTTTATGCTATGATTTCTTCAGGTTTTTAAACAACACTTGCTAAGAATAAAACAAGTACCATCAAAGTTGCTTGGAATTAATTATAAAATAAATTTATCCTGTTTCATATGAGATTAAAAACTAAAATATAAAATGTAGTATGTAAACAAATCTTACTTTTGTGTTGAAAAGACTAAAATATCCTAAATGTTTCTCTTACATTTTTATAGAATTGATTTTATTTTTATAAAAGAAACAGTTATTTTTTCAACTATACAGGAGAAAGTAAGAGTTGGTTTATGTTTGTAGATATTTGTTTAAATGCTAAATTTCCATATGGAAATTTATTTGTTCCAGAAAAGAAGAATGTCTACAGATATGGTTTAATAGTGTAAAAGTATTTCTGAACACTAGCCAACTATTGTGGTATTTTGATTATAGGTTTTGGTAATCGCTGTGGAAAACCTAAAGGACCAAGAGATCCACCTTCAGAATGGACATGATTCAGGGAACTAAAAGACACTTTAAATTATACTGGAAAATTCAAGTGCCACTGAAAGCCAGATTTATAGTATTCCATCTTAAAAATGTGGGACTAACAGCAGTGTAGATTGTTACCTTAGTGATTTTTTCCTTTTTTTTTTTGCTGGGACCATCTACCTGCCTTATATTACACTTAGGAAAAGTATTACATTTGGTTTATTTTGTAACTTCAAGTATTATTGCCTTAATGTCTCTTAACCCTGTTACACGCTGCTTGTAGACATGTTAATATAGTAATACTTTTATGATAAATTGAGTTTAAGGACTACTCTTTTTTGCTAATGTTTTATCATGTATGCATTATTTTGTATATGTACAGGGCAAGTAGGTATATAATTTGATAAAGTTGCAGTCATAAAGTATTATTAACAGAAGATGTAAGAAATTTCTGCATGGTCTAAATCTTTGTGTACCTTATTTGTAAATTATTTGCCCTGAAGTTTTAGAAAATAGTTTCTGATTTTTAAAATTGCTGGATTCATGCAGCCAGCTTTACAGGTTATCAGAGATCAAAGATTGTAATAATAATACATTTTGTAAATTGTAAGCAAAAAGTTATTTTTATATTATATACTGTCTAATTGTCCATTCTAATTGTCCTTGTTTTCATCTAGTCATGGAGATTCAGTAAGTGCCTTGGAACAATATTGAATTCTCTTAGCTTGTGTGTGTTACTTTAATATTTGAACTCAACTGGGATTAGAAGACTATCAAACTATATGTGTTCAGGATATTTGACCTGTCATTAAAAAAACAAAAACAATTTTACAGTGCCTATTTGTTTTGGTTTTTCATTCCTCATTTTTAGAAAATTAGACTTAATATCCACCTTCCTACCAGCTCAATCTTATCTTTAAGTCATGTTGTGAATGGGGTTAATCTCTTGTTTATAAAATAGGGAGCACCTTCTGCAACAACATGGCTGTGCAGTTCTAACTACTTATCTTGAGTCAGCCCTATTCATACTTCTCAGCCTTATCATTATTGCCTACTGGGATCCAGGAAGTCTCCAAACAAAGGTGCGGTTGGATAAGGGGAACTGGTTTCTTCCCATCCTGCACTGCAGCAGAGGTCCTGTCCATAAGTACCAAGTTTGAATTTTGACATTTTGGATTGAAGTTGATAGATATCTGTACTTTCCCTCTGCAACAAGACTAAGGTGAGATAAAGTAACCATACATGAATAGAAGGAGGATCATTGTGGAAGAGAAAATGCTATTATAATTTCATGTCAAAAAATTTTCAAAGCTCAGTAGTCTTAGAATGTCACATTTCCCTCATATATTTGGTAAAAAAAAAAAAGAAAGAATTGTGAATCCAGTGGGCATTTGATATTCACAAGAAACAAACACCTCTATAGCATGTCATTTTCTTAATAAAATTTAAACTGAAATAAAGTTTAACTGAAAAAAATACCTAGTCTCCATACACTTTATGACTTGTATAATATGGCACTGAAATCATTTGTAAAGACTTCTTTGGGGAGGAGTTGCTTTGGAACACCTTCATTGAAGTACTTCATTGAAGCATACGTGTACTCAGAGGGTGCAGAAAGTATACTCACCATCACAAAGTACACACCTCTATGCGTGTGACCACCCTCAAGCAGTAGAATAGGACTAGCCACTGAGAAGCTTCCCTCTGGGTCTGTAAGATTTGCTCATTATGTGCAGCAGTTCCTTTATTCATTTTTCATTGCTAGAGTTTTGTATTGTGTGAATATATCACAGTTTGTCTGTTCTGCTACTAACAGACATTTGTGTTGTTTTCAGCTTCAGAAAATTATAAACATTTTTTGCTACAAATACTTTTTAATGTGTTTTGGTGCACTTATATATGCATCTATTGGGTAGATAATTCAGGAGTGCAGTTTTTGTAGAGTATGCATATATATTCAGCTTTGTAGATACGGCCAGTTTTCAAAATTGGTTGTTCTGATTGTTACGTATTTCCCTCCTGACTAATGAGGTTGAGTACATTCTTACCTGCTTAGGACCATGTGGCTGTTCACTTTTGTGAAGAATCTGTTCAAGTCTCAAAAAGATACTGTTTGGCATATCTACTAAAGCTGAGTACACACATATTCTATCATCTGGCAACTCTGTACCTGTTTTTCTCTTTAGTGGTTTGTCTTTTTCATATTGATTTGTTGGAATTGTATTCCACATTTTAATCCTTGTGGGTTTGCCTGAGCTTTGCCTTTTCACTCTATTAATGGTGGTTTTGTTTTTTTTTTTAATAAAAGGAGTTCCTAAATTTAATTAAATCCAATCTATGAATGTTTTATTTTGTAATTATTCTTTTCTGGTGTTCTCTTTTAGAAATGTTTGCCCACTCCAAGATCACAAAGATATTCTTCAGTTTTCTAGAAGCTTAATTTTTTCATTTATATTTTTATGTTATGTTTTTATCTAAAACTGCAGAATTAATTTTTGTATAGAGTATGAGGTAGATTTTTTTCCCTTGATGAATCACTATTTAATGTCCTTTCTCCATTAAATATATATACTCTTATCATCATAAGTTATATATTCATTGATCTTAGTCAATTACTAGATTTTTCTTTCTATTCCATTGCCTATCTTTATGTTTTAAATTCTGCCTTTTTCCACCTTTAGCTTTCTCCCAGTGATTTTTATATTGCCTAGACAGTCCATAAAGTTATTATTCATTTTAACTTCCTATATAAAGCATATAAGAAGTTTATTTGTATCTGAGATAAATTATTGCCAAATTCATCCTGCTACTTTATCTGAAACCTCTACCTTGTAGCTCATACTACACTTAATCTTTCCTTTTCCATTGTAACTATCAGTTACCTTTCTTTTGGAAGTAATTTTTCACAAATAGTAATTTCTACTTTATGGACTTTTTTCCTTATATTGATAAACAGAGCAATAAAACCATAGTTGTATGTGAGTGGTGAGCTAGGCTCAGACAATAGTTAAAGGACTTCCTCACAGGTAACAGCCTCGTAGGACATGTGGTTATGTTTTTGCCTGAGCAAATTTATATAATTGTATATCCTAAACTCCTGTGGTCATTTAAAACAGCTGAATCTATGAAATTCTTTCTTTTTTAATTGTTTAAAACATTTCTTAATGCTATGGCCTGTGTCATTTTTTAAAACTGAAGTATAACTGACGTATAGTATTAGCTTCAGGTGTACAACATAGTGATCCAGTATTTTTATACATTACAAAATTATCACCATCATAACTATAGTTACTATCTGTAACCAGACAGAGTTACTAAAATAGTAACTATATTTCCTATGTTGTACATTACATGACTGTGACTTGTTTATAACTAGAAGTTTGTACCTCTTAATCTTTATCACCTATTTCACTCATTTCCCCACCCCTTTTCCCTCGCAACAACCAGTTTTATCATCTATGAATCTATTTGTTTTTTTTTTTTTAGATTCACTTGTTCCGTTTTTTAAGTTCCAAATATAAGTGAAATTGTACAGTATCTGTCTTCCTTTGTCTGACTTAGCATAATACACTCCAGTTCCATTCCTTTGGTTGCAAGTGGCAAAATTTCATTCTTTTTCAGGGCTCGGTAACATATTCATTGTATATATACACCACATGTTTATCCATTTGTCTATTGATGGGCACATAATTAGTTAACTAAAAAGAGACAGTTTTGTGCTACCCGTGACAGGGAGCAATAAAAATAATGCAATCTGAAGGTTTGAGAGAAATTCAAGTGAAGAGTTACATCTTAATTATATTTAATCTTAAAATGTGTTAATATTTTTGTTGAAGTACATATTTGGTAGTCTTGATTGCAATCCATGAAGTCATTCTAGTTTAATCTTAAATATAGAATAAAGTTTAAGTAAATCACTCTTGTGCTAGTTTTGGAAACATTTTTGCTGTTTTTGTTTTCTTACACAGATATCTCCTCTAATTACCTACTTTTGAAAGTGAAAGTAAGTGTGTTAGTCACTCATTTGTGTTCAACTCTCTGCGATCCCATGGGCTACTATCGTCTACCACACTCCTCTGTCCATGGGATTCTCCAGGCAAGAATACTGGAGTAGGTTGCCATTCCCTTCTCCAGGGGATCTTCCCAACCCAGGGATCAAACCTGGATCTCGTGCATTGCAGGTGGTTTCTTTACCCATTGAGCCACCAGGGAAGCCTTCCTGCTTTCAGTAATGTTATTTTAGATATTGAAAAAAGATTTTTGTACATATCCATTCAATAATAGCTAAAAGTAGCTCTAGTTTTTAATACAAACTGTGTTTTCTTTTTTTTTTCATTTATTTTTATTAGTTGGAGGCTAATTACTTTACAGTATTGTAGTGGTTTTTGCCATACACTGACATGAATCAGCCATGGATTTACATGTGTTCCCCATCCTGATCCCCCTTCCATCTCCCTCCCCACCCGATCCCTCTGGGTCTTCCCAGTGCACCAGCCCTGAGCACTTGTCTCATGCATCCAACCTGTTTTCTTAACAGATTTGCTGCATTCTGTTTCCCTTGCTATTTGTCTTTAAGGTGCACAAGTATTGTATGATAGGCAAATGACCAATTAGATCTAATGACCAATTAGATTAGAACAATTTAACCACTGAAAAAGCAGCTATGCTTGAGTAGCTCAAGATGTGTCTCAGTGTTCTAAACTACAACAAATCTGGGCTTTGTTGAGTTAGTGGGGGAAGAGAATTCCAAAGATTCCAGCCACTTTTCATTTTTTAGAGATAAAATGCCTTATGTACTAAAATCATGATTTAATGTAATAGCAGTTGTGACTTAAATCTCTTGCCAACATTTCAGCCAGAACATATAAGTATACAAACATGCAATACATTGGTGATGTTTTAAAATATTGTGGCTTTTAAATTTTATCTTTATCTACTTGTATGTAAACTTGTTAGAGTATTTTCAATACTTTCTAAAACTAAAATGTGAGAAAGAATTTGCTATATTAAATATAAAAATCAA